CAGAAGAATGCAGACAATCGTATATCTCTCCAATACACAAGAAAGGCATAAAGACGGATCCTAAAAACTATAGAGGGGTCGCAGTGATTGCTACTATAGCCCGACTTTACTCAAAAGTACTACGAAACCTGATAGAAAATGATACTAAAGACAAACAACCTGAAGAACAAATAGAATTTAGGGCCGGACACTCTACTATGGATAATATTTTCACATTAAAAATTGCAATGGCAAAACGAGTACAGAAAAATAGAGAAACCCATATAGCTTTAACAGATTTGGAAAAAGCATATGACAGTGCCCCGATCTCCCAACTATGGATAAAAATGGGTAGCTTGAAAATAAACCCAATTCTTATTAACGCCACTCAAAAATACTCCGAACAAAACTTTGCAAGAATTAAAATGGGACAAGAAATCACCTCTCTTTTTCAAACAACAAAGGGACTAAGACAAGGCTGCTATCTGTCACCCACCTTCTTTAAAATTTACTTGGACAGATCCTTATTGAAATGAGTAAGAAAACGTAGAAACTTGGGAATACCGGTGAAAAAAAACACGCTATAATATACACTTTTCTTTGCGGATGACAATGGATGAAAGACAGACAATTTTTTTAAATAATAATTGCTTTCGTTAAAATTTAAAAATTGTAACATTTAAAAATTGTAAATTTTAGGTTTTGGGTTTGGCTGTCAATTTAATTATTCGTAGACTTAAACTTTAATGTTAACATAAGACAGCGCGCTATATTATTTTTGATATTCATTTGTTTTGTTTAATAAAATAACCTCTGTGCGGTAATATTTGTAACTTTTTGTAGTATCTCCAACTCCTAGGGTATGTAAACGGATAACATGTAAGTTTTTTGTATTTTTGTATTTTGCGACTATTGAGGTAATATTTATGTATTGTCCTTTTTGAGTATTCTTGTATTCTCTATGTTTTGTAACTGTTTTTGGTGACACAATAACAAATGTTAAAGTTTTTTTCTTAATATTTTGTTTATTTTTTCAACTAACCCTTTTTTGAGTCTCGTTTGAAAAAGATATATTTTGCATTTCTAATAATTATTTTTGTAGTTATACCTAGCTGTTGTAATTGTTATAATTACGCACCTCGAAGTGGCGTGGTTTTTAAATTACTAGAGGTGTTTTCTGTTTCTTTCCTGTGTTTTGTTTTATTTGTCCCAAGAGATTCAAGACCCTTTGTTTTATTTTTTGTAGTTGCCCCAATTCAACCCCCTTGTCATTTACTTATCCACGACCCTAGCTCTCCAACCAAAACCTGAGTGCCGTTCTCATATGTTCCAATTATTTTGCTTGCCCTATCTCTATCCCAATAGTTTTTGCCCCCATAGTAATACCCCGTGTGGTAGGCAAAATATAAATCGTTACATTATACAAGGTGAGTCATGAGGAACTTTACATACTTCTACCATATGTAGAATCCCTCAGGGAGCATATCATGTGGCCACTAAAAAATGTCAACTCCTCTTCTTTTTTAATTAACAGGGTGATTTGTGTAATTGACCATTTATTTCATTTTACTGTAGTGTTTATACGGCTCATTTGATTTTTTTAATTTTTGCATGATACAGTACACTACTATCAAGCATTCGACTGGTATTAGCTAAACTAAAAAATTTCAGGACTGGCTTTGAAAAATTTAATTTATGGATTCGTAATAAATATTACACCCTGTATATATTTTTTTTAAATGCAATAAGTGATTTTCAAACTAAATAAATAGCCAATGAAAGCGACATATGCGACAATGTTGTGGCACTTTTATTAAATTTTTAGTGAACGATTAAATCTTACCAAAAATAGAACAACCATAATAAAGTATCAAATTATAAGGTAATTAATTTAAACAAATGTTATAAATTTCAAACATTTTAATTGAAATGATAAACTGAGTCACTGCACAACAAAAAACAGTAACTACTAACAATAACGAAGAACAATTTAAAAAAAAAAACTAAAAATATGTACACAGTTATGATAAACCCATAAATTAGAACTGGAAAAGATATGATAATGGTAACAAAATAAAAATAATTCAAAATAGATTTTCGAAATGGAACCCTGAAGCCTGTACACATTTTTGTTGCCGAATTGTTAATGGACGTATTAAATTACGGATACTCTGGGGATCGTTTCTAATAGTATTACAACAATGTATAATTCTATCAATTAATTGTTGTCTGTTATTAATATTCACTGCGTAAACTAGTTGCTTCAATCGTCCCCAAATATGGTAATCAACGGGATTGAAATCAGGGGATTTTGATGGCCACGAAATAGGACCTGCACGTCCTATCTACCTGTTGCCATAAACATTATTGAGATGTTGTCTTACTGCCAGTAAAAAGTGTGGGGGTGCCCCATCATGCTGAAAATACATCACTCGGATAGCAACGTTCGCGTTGGCAAGCAAATTCGGCAAAATATTTTGTAGAAAGTTCAAATAGACCTGCCCTGTTAAAGGACCATCAAAAAGGTGAGGACCTACTAATTGGTTATTTATGACACCAATCCACACGTTAACCGAAAACCTTAACTGAGAACGACGTTCTCGGATAGCATGGGGATTTTCTTCTGCCCACACATGTGAATTTCGTGAATTATTTATCCCGTCTCTCGTAAATTGGGCTTCATCTGTAAATAGTGTTTTGTATAGCGTTGGTCGATTATTGTTAATCCATCTACAAAATTCCAACCTATCGATCTCATCTCCAGCATGTAGTCGCTAAACCATTTGAATGTGATATGGGTATAGATTATTTTTTTGTAAGACTCTACTTACTTTTGATTGAGTAACATTGAGTTCTCGACTTACTTATCTAGTACTTACTGTAGGGTTCATAGTAACGGTGTCCATAATGTCATCTTCCTGCGCTTCATCTACATGTCGCTCTGTTGTTCCACTAGGAAAAGTGCCATTTTCTCGCAAATAATTAATAACCGACCCAAATATTGGATGACTGGGAGTTCGACGATTAGGAAATCTGCGATATTGTCTACTAGCAGCCCTACCATTCCCATTACAGAATCCATAAACAAATATTATGTCTGCATATTCTGTGGTCGAAAACTGATGTGGCATTTTGAACGAAATTAACAAAAGCTCTACCAAAACTAACACAATATACTTAACGTAGATATGACAGAAGAAATATGTATTCTTGTACACATAAATAACAATTAATAATGACAATAATGACAATGGGTATAAAATATCAAGAAACGTCAAACGGTCAACGCCAACCTTCATTTTAAACTTTTTTAGATTTATTTTTATTTGGTACAGTTGATGCAATATATTATTATTTGACATAAAATTTTTAAGACACATACATTATAACACATACAAGAGGTTTGACTTTTTAATCAATTTAATTTATTATTTATCGAAAATAATGCCACAATACGATGTATGAGTAAAAATTTAAAATTGAAAAACAATTGATTCTATCGTAGAGATAATACAAAGTGACAGTAAAGATGTTAATTTTCTACGTATTAGATTATGTTGTAGGAACTCATTTTAATTAAAATATTTGAAATTTATAACATTTGTTTAAATTAATACCTTATAATTTGATACTTCATTATGGTTGTTCTATTTTTGGTAAGATTTGATCGTTCACTAAAAATTTAATAAAAGTGCGACAACATTGTCGCATATGTCGTTTTCATTGGCTATTTATGTAGTTTGAAAATCACTTATTGCATTTAAAAACAAATATATACAGGGTGTAATATTTAATACGAATCCCTAAATTAATTTTTCCATAGCCAGTCCTGGAATTTTTTAGTTTAGCTAATACCAGTCGAATGCTTGATAGTAGTGTACTGTATAATGCAAAAATTAAAAAAATCAAATGAGCCGTATAAACACTACAGTAAAATGAAATAAATGGTCAATTACACAAATCACCCTGTTAATTAATAAAGAAGAGGAGTTGACATTTTTTAGTGGCCACATGATATGCTCCCTGAGGGACTCTACATATGGTAGAAGTGGTAGAAGTATGTAAAGTTCCTCATGACTCACCCTGTATATATATTCATATATATATATATATATATATATATATATATATATATATATATATATATATATATATCTATATATATATATATTAGCACTTATAGAAATGGAACAAAGAGAGAAAGAAAATAAAAAATATGACAGATGGAAAGAATGTAAGAGACAAGTAAAGTAGTACCTATGTATAAAAACAGCTTAAGGTATAAAGGATCGGTAGATATCATATAGAACAACGTGATAGAACAAGTATAAAAATATCAGTACTTGGGATCTTTGATCAATAAAACCAATAATCATAATGCAGTAAAAAACAGGCAAATAAAGATTGCCAGATCGGCATTTATACGAATAAAGCCACTCCTAACGATCAAAAATATAAATTTGGAGATCAGACTACGTACCATTCGCTATTATATATTTTCAATATTATTATATGAAGCTGAGATTGGACACTAAAAAAAAAGCAATTAAAAAAAATAAGGCTTTCAAACTCTTGTTATACCGCAGAGTATTAAAAATATCATGGACTGAAAGAATTACAAATAAAGAAGTACTGGAGAGGGTTGGTAAAGAAACAGAATTAATCAACACTATACAAACCAGAAACCTTGAATACCTAGGTCACGTGATGAGGAGACCAAAATATGAAATTTTAAGACTCATAATACCGAAAAAGATTTAAAAAAGAAGATCTGTTGACCGAATGCAGAACTCATGGTTGAAAAATCTACGTGATTGGTATCAATGCAGACCGATTAATTTGTTTAGACCAGCAAGTTCAAAAATAAGAATAGCCACTATGATTGCCAACCTTCGTAGAGAGACGGCACTCTAAGAAGAAGAAGATATCATATCTAAATATTTAATATACATTACCTTTGGGTTGATATGCAGGGGGTTGGTCCTGATTCTTGCGTAGTTTGCCGTCCCCAAGGCAAAGACCTCGCCAGATCTGCCAAAGTTTCTCTTCGACATAATTGCTTTTGTTGCTTTTTTGTACTTCCACCCCATTCCCGTAGAATATCTGTTAATTGAGCTAGGGAACTTCGTCTTCTCCTTGTTTGTCCTGTTGTTGGAGGAGACGTTTCCTGAATTTCCGTTGGAGGTGATATGCTGCATATTTGTGTGGCTGAGTCTCGTCGACCACCAAGTCTTTGTCTTATGGTTGATTCTTCCACCTAAAATACAAAAAATTCTTGTTATATTCGAAAATATGATATAAAGTTATAAAATTTTAATGATAATTATATTGAAAAAAAAAAACTTGTTCTAAAGCTAGTTTCCAAACTCTTCTTAGGTTTAATAATTATTTATAATTATCAAAAATAAAATGCTCATAAGTATGCTTTTATAGAGGTATAGTCATCAATCATGATCATCAATTAGCCTATGATTATCCACTGCTGAACGTAGGCCTCCCGTAAAATTTTCCACCTATTTCTGTCTTGAGCTTCTTGCATCCAGTTTGTGGTGATGCGCTTAATATTATCCGTCCATCTAGTCGGTGGTCGTCCTCTGCTTCGATATGCATCTTGCCTTGGTCGCCATTCCAGAATCTTTTTGGTCCATCTGTCATCCGTTAATCTGGCAACATGTCCGGCCCAAGCCCATTTAGCACTGGCTATTTTTTAAACTGCATCTGTGACTCCTGTTTGGTTCTAGGTTTGGTACTTTATCTCTGATGGGAATACCTAATATTGATCTTTCTATAGCGCGTTGTGTAACTCTAATTTTATCTGTTGTTCTTTTTGTCAGTCAGTGTTTCTGCACCATATGTAAGAACCGGTAAAACGCACGGGTTAAAAGCCTTTCTTTTTAAACAAACTGGGATACTAGACTTGAAGATGTTATTCAATCTACCAAAGGCAGCCCATGTCAGACCTAGCCTTCTTTGTATTTCAGTTGTCTGATTATCTCGGCCTAGGCGAATCTCATGCTCTAGATATTTGTAAGGTATTACTTGGTCGATGCTATGGCTCTCAATCAGAATTTTACCGCTGACTACAAGGTTGGTCATAGAGGTATAGTAGCCAGTATTATAGATTTTAACCTTCATAGAACGGGCCTCAATTAAGTACATTTAAATTGTAATGAATTCTTTTGATTTTTTAACCCTCTATCAAATTCTTAACGAGCAGGAAAATTTTCTGGGTAGCAGTGCTTGTACCTTTCTAAAATGAAAATAATATAAATTTTCGTTAAGTAAAGTATTTTTTCTTCTAACGTCAAATAATGATGACATTACTTATCTAACTTGATCTTGTCAAAGTTTGATGTCTCCGCCGGCAGCAGTTTTTTTCCCATTTCTTTACGGCGGAGGGAAAAAAAGATGTCATGGCAACAATAAAAAACATGTCACAAAGCAACAATATAAATGTCATTAACAACAATTAAACAGCATTTTTATTTATAGTAATATTAAAAGAACAATTAGTTAATAAGGCATTTTTAAAATTGAAACCGTGCAAAAATGTTCCCGACTCTTGATACGCATTGGTAATTGTTGATGATACTGATGGTCGAGAACAACTTTCAGCAATCATTCCCGATGTTGGCGAATCATAAGGGGTTTAAAGTTTTTTAAGCGTTATCGTTATTATTTCTTATTTAATTCTCTATATATCCTTCGGCAAACGTGCTTGATTTCCAGCCCCCATGTCATTTGAGGCATTCTAGATTTCCGCCTCCATCAATTAAAAGTGTTGCTGAAGTTCGTCGTAAAGAGTGACCCGTGTATGCGCTTGCATCGTTTGAATTTAAATAACTAGCTACTTTTTGGGCTACTGCGCTGATCGAATGTATTCTCATGACGCTTCGGTAACACTTTCCATTTTGGTACTTGATAAAAAATCGGTTTTCTGTGAAATTTTCAGGCCGCAGAGATGCATACTTTTTATACAGTTTAATCTAGTTTTGACCAATTATCGTAAAATATCTAATTTGTCGTATTTTACTGGGATTGACTGAGATTTTAATAATTATTACATTTTCTTTATCCTCAATGTCCACAGTCTTCATTTTTACCATTTCGTCGCATCGACAGGCGACGGTAACCCCAATTAACAAAACAATCTGAAATATTTTTATAATTTAGTAGAGTATACTACATGCTTTGCAATATAATTTTTTTTTACCTGTAATCCTAAATACAACTTATCTGGCGATTCAAACAAAAATTTATCAAACTCGTCTTTAGTGAAAACTTTAGAGTTCTTTGCAGTATATGCTTCGCTTGTTTTTTCAGAAAAGTACGTAACTTTAAAAATTTGCTTATATCCACATTTTTTTTAATAAATAACTCGGATTTTAGCATAGAGTATCGTGATCACATTGTAGAAGATTTTCATTTATATTAATTTTCCATTATATTAAAATATGCCAGTAAAACGTCTTCGGTAACTTGCCGTACTCTTCTTGTATCGCACCACTCTTGGAAGTGCTTATACGCTAACCGATACTTTATTCCGGACTTGGAGGGCCCCAAACGTGCTACTGCATCATTAGCAGCAGACTCAATTTCGTTTAGGTTTTTCATTTTCGCACTAAATTTACTCTTGCGGTTGCAACAACAATAAGCTGTCTTTAATAATTGCAAACAACTGTCAAACAACTGTAACCAGGGAGACGCAAATCCCACCGACGACTTAATTATTTTAATTTCTAACATCTAAACGACTTTGATAGTTGTCACAGTTAATTTCGAGTAAAAATAGCATATAAATTGTACTATTTGTGATTGAAAATTGCTACGTTTGAAAAAAAAATAGTATACTTTATTCGGCAAAGAAGCGACTTTTCTTGACTTGCCCTCTATTATGCGCCTCACTTCGTTCGGCGCGTAATATCGGGCGCGTCAAGAAAAGTCATGCTTCTCCGCCTCATAAAGTAATATACAATTCTACGGAAGATTTTGAAATTTTGGGATACATGGCAGATAATCTTCGAACGCTTATTTCTGGATTTTTTTTACGTTCATTAAAATACTATCTTTATGTGCTGCTATTACATCATCACGTTCCCTCTTTCATTATTTTTTGAAACCACTGAACCAGTTTCTCTTATTTGTTGATGAAGAGCTATAAATGTTGAGTTAGTGGGATTACGATTGGGAAACTTTTCATCTACGTTGTGCTGCTTTACTAAAAATCGAAAAGATAAATTTCACGAATTGACCACAATTTGGCAATGAAAAACCTATCCGAGGTAGGTTATATTTCTGTTGACAGGTCACGGCCAACTAGTGCAAAAAATATTAATTTAACTTTCATGACGAAAAAACGATAAAATTTAGTAAGAGTAAGTAACTACTCCGTATCGAACCAAAATATTTTCCCATCGTAGACATTATTAAAAATAACTATGGACAGACGTAACAGCCACTACATGGAGTAGTGGCTATACCGTACTAAGGAGACCTAAAGAGGTCGAAATACGTATATGCGGCTTGTCGCTGCTCTGTATCGAATTAAAATCTAATACCGTCATTGTGTTTTACTTCTTTACTTCGTTTAGAGTACCAGAAATCGAATTCACTACGAACATTGGCCATGATGAACGGCATTTAAAATGCAATTTTAGATTCCCTTGCCGATTTATTCATCAAGCTGTTTGCTTCGCAAGTTTTAGGAAGCACAGTGGCTGATATTTGAATTCGATTTCGCCAGGTAGAAATCGTATGATTTCTCTTTTTGTTCTTAGATGGCGTAGTTACATCTGTCCATAGTTATATTTTTAATAACTATAATCTACGACGGGAAAATATTTTGGTTCGATACGGAGTAGTGGCTATACCGTACTGAGGAGACCTAAAGAAGTCGAAATACATATATGCGGCTTGTCGCTGCTCTGTATCGAATTAAAATCTAATACCGTCATTGTGTTTTATTTCTTTACTTCATTTGGAGTACCAGAAATCGAATTCACTATAAATATTGACCATGATGAACGGCATTTGGAATGCAATTTTAGATTCCCTTGCCGATTTATTCATTAAGCTGTTTGCTTCGCAAGTTTTAGAAAGCACGGTGGCTGATATTTGAATTCGATTTCGCTAGGTAGAAATCGTATGATTTCTCTTTTTGTATATACTTAAGCCTTACCTGTTCGCGAACCAAATCGTCCCATCCATTTCCACCTTGCCATACCAAACCAACTTGATGCGATAGAATCGGAAGATTGCAAACGAAACAAATGGCTGTCATTGTCCTGAAAAAAATTGTATTTTCACATGTGTGATTTCTTGCACATGGTGCGTGCAAATTCCAGACGATCACCTTTTGGTAACAAAGATCAAAATGATTTTATAATATTAGCACTACTTAAATAAGTTTTAGTAATATTATATATTTACTAAAAAATTATTTCCCAAATTAAAAACTTAAAACCATTTTATTTAAAATCTTATAAAATTTAACTTCAATTATAATATATAAATTTAAATTTAATTTAACTCAGTACAGTCACATATCTTAAGTGAACAAATTTAACAGCTTCAGTTTGAATGGGTTGTTGGAGGAATATATATGGAAATAGAGAAAAGTTATTTATCCAAAACTAATAATTTAATTACAAAGTAATTTTTTATAATTTACCATTCATATTTTCGTAAAAAGAGTGTTAAAAAAGATTTACAGCTGTTATTTGAGATATGTAAAATTTCAAACATCATTTGGTATGCAGTTGTGAGTTGTAAATAGAATGTATATGGAGTATATGAATTTTCTCATTTAATAAAAGCTCTCGTTCGTAACGGTACTTATTTTTCATTTAAATCTATATTTGTACAATCCCTACAATTAAATGTTTAAGTAAGTTAACTTCTGAGATTCTTAGAAAAAAATAAATAGGACTTACAAACAGAACTGCAAAAATGTATACTAAAGCCGAAACATCAATTAAGTATAAAAAACAAGTTTACTTAAATTATTAGCATTATAGACAGATGCTTCTAATCAAAATTTAATTATCTCGTTCATACACTTATTAATCAACGGCTCAGTTATGTCTTGTATGCCTCTCTCCCACTATGATTAGTTTAGCCTTCCTATTTTATTTCTAGATACTTGGCATTTCAAATACTTTACATATTTTATAATAATACTCTATTATGTTAGTTCCACTAGGTAAATCTCCAATAAGTATCGACAATAAAAGAACATCAAGTTCAACATAAAAATAT